TTAGTTAGTTATTAATTTACTTACTTAGTAACGTAACGACACTATAGTAGTCGTAGAGTATTATTTGTTAGTTTATTTACTTTTAGTTTTCCTATATATATATATATATATATATATATATATATATTCGAAGTTAAATTCTTTTTTTTTGAGTGTTATATATTCTAAGTAACTTTTCCATGCAAAGATATACATATGAACGTTTAAACCCATTCAAAAGCTCCAATCATTGAAAATTTTAGTGAAAAAACATAAATAAGTCCATGGTGTGTATTAGTCTCCAACTTTCCAATTCATTCTCCATATTGACACATGATCATGATACCCAAATAAAAGCCAAAGATGAAATACAAAAGAAAAGTATAAAACCAAATGTCCAATAAATTTCAAAAGCAATAGATTGTTTGTAGGGTTTAGATTTTTTTCTTTTCCCTTTTCACATTAGGGGTTTGGAATACTCCGAATACTCTCTTTTAAGACAAATTTGTATGTCAAAATGACCTAAAATGTGGTAGGGGGCATTTTTATTCCACAAAAACATGCCCAGGTCTTGGGCACCGCTAAGGACCGGGTGCTTGGCTCCTCCTTAGGCTCCCACCTGGGCCACCTGGGTGGGTGGCCAGGGAGGGGCGCCCAGGCCTAGGTGTGTGCCTTACAGTCCTTTGGGCGCCTAGGAGCCTGCTTAGGCGCTGGGCGGCCATTGTTTTGAACAATGGAGCGTATTAGCTTTTGAATTTCACTTTTAGATCCCCACTTTATCATTTAATAAATAGTGGTTCTATTTTAAGAAACAGCTCTGAGCTGCACAGTGTACTCTTACTAAACTATTGAGATATTTATGCTATGTTGCAGGCAACCCATGTTGCAGCTCAATATGGCCAGACAGCTTTTCTCTATCATATCGTTATGAAATGGAATGCTGATGCTGATATTCCTGATAATGATGGGAGAAGCCCATTACACTGGTACGCAAATCGTTTCTCTAGCGAATTTTTGTTGTGTTTAAGATGAGAAATTCTTCCGTGAATGTTATTTACATCCCTTTTTGGGGATTCCCACAATCTGTACATGACAATAAATTCTGAAATTTTGATCCTGACTGGTATGGAGTGGATGTACAAATAACAATTTTATACTCGTTATAACATATTTTCCTTCACCTGTAAGAATATTCTGTTACATTTGTATTCATATATGTGGCTAATCTACATTATGCATTATAATGGGTTTTGAATTAATTTGAAAAGGTTTTTTGTCTTGCTGAGAAAAGCAAAGGTACTTATTCTGGTATTCATATCTGCTTACTTTACCACAAATGCAAAATTCTGGATCGGCCACAAAGATAATGAGATGGGAGGCAATGCTGCTGTGGCTGAATTCCTGGATTTCAAGCTGCCTTAAAGGATGGAAAGCAAGGAAGCATGGAGAGAGGTTCTCTGTGTTGAGAGACTATGGAAGTTCTTGAGAACATGACTAAGAGAATATCATTAATAAGTCTATGAAAGTTTGGTTTGAGAAAGGGAATCAAGTGGTTTCTAACAGCCAATTCAAGACCTCTAGAGTGCTTCCCTTGTGGGCGTGGATTATGAGACTAGTTGAAGGAATGGGGCGACACATGGAGTCAGATACGTGTTGCGGTTTGTGGTCTCTGGGGAGCAGCCTATATAATGTGCGGAAGATGTGCTAAGAGTGCCAAGGGGGTGTTATACTCTGGTACCATTTGTTGCATGGTGAGATGGCAATTCAGTTATAATATATGGAATCCAATACATCATTTCAAATCCATTAACCTAAAGAAACAAAGTTGTGTTTACAGATGGAGACGATGCAAAGTAATGAAAGCAAAACACACTAATGGTGTAGGAAAAGAAAACGCAAAACAAATCTTAAGAGTTCAAGATTTTGGGTGGTTCACCACTAGGGTTACACTGTCATCATCATCAGCACCTATTAGGAGGTGTGAGTTAGTTCAAGTAGAAAGTTCAAAAAGATGAAGGGGTACGCTTAAAGGGACATGGTTGGAAGTAGTGAGAAAAGATATGGGAACTTATGACCTCATTGAGGGTATGACGCTTGATAAAACAGAATGACGGATCATGATTTGTCTAGCGAACTCCAAATAGTTGGGAAAATGTTTCAAAGGAAAAACTCTATGAGGAGTCTTACAATTTGGCATTTATTCTCACCCTTACCTCATACTAATGAAAAGGATATGGAAAGTTTTAATAGCATTTTGTGAGCTTTCAATCGTTTTCTTAGTATCCTTCACAACTTTAATTAATATTCTTTAGATGTTAGTTTATTTTGGTCTAAGAAGGGCGAGAACCTAAACTTTCCCTTAACCCGTCCCAAGCCAATGTAAAGGAGGTGGGTTGTGTTAAGAAGGCAACCAGCGTAAAATTTTACCAAAACTTTCCACAGGGGTTAAACATATTGGTTAAATGACAAGTTGAAACTCTATTGTTCCAAAAGAGAGTACATATTATTTGGAATGCAGAATTACTTCTTCAAAAGTCTGCAATTCACGTATATCTTCCATTTCTACTTATTCTCTTGACAAATGATGTCCATTGATGTTCCCCTTTCAACATTGTAAAAACCATAATTTTGAAGAGAGCTGTGAAGGCACCCAGAGAGAACTGTGTTTTTTTGTGTCTTTGTCTCTGGTAATGATAGAAAAATGCCCAAAAGTGGGAAAGATGTCTTACATAAAGAGAGTGCATGAATCTGTCTGTTTCCTTTCTCTATATGCCCAAAGCTGAGAATACTTAAAACCATACAGTATTAACTGCAATGTCACTTTAACTATTTATAGTCAAGGAATAACCTACAAGTTTGTAAGACCATGAGGCAATGTACCAGAATATACTTCTACAGAATCTTCAGAGTATTGCTAAAACGAAGGTTTTTTTTTGTTTTTTTGTTTTTTTGTTTTTTTATTTATTTATTTTATTTTATTTTTTAATCTGTTAACTGTGAAAGGGATTGTTTGATAATATGAAACGGCATATATTCATCCAAAAAGTGGCTTTGTTGAATGTTGTGAGATTGGAATAAAAGTTTTAGGCCTAAACATATTAAAGGCATGTTATATGCCAATATGCTCATTTTTAACAAATGTTCTTAGTTGGGAGAAGAAAAAGTCAAAATGTTTAGCGTGTATGGTATATGCCAATTAACTATGATGTTATTTTCCTTTGCCTGCGGGATGGATGTGGCTTAAAGTTATAAGAAGTGCATTAGAAAATAGAAGACCTTGAGGTAGAGCAGATTGCCGTCATTGCGAATATGCTGGCAAAAACCTCCGTGTTGACTGCCACAAAACCTTAGTCAGATTGCATTCTAATGCTTTAAAAATCCCTTCCTTGACCAAGCCTTATGATTTTATGTGTGTGCCTGTGGGTGCAGGTGCATATGTGCATGTGTTTGTGAGTATGTTTTCATGCACATTTGTGTGCGCATATGCTTTCAACTGTGCTTATATATATATATATATATATATATATATAGTT